TTCAAATCAAAGGACTAGTCGTACCCATCTCATATGAGATTCCCATAGGCTAAATCAAATGAGTTCTCATGATGAGTCAAGTCTAATAATATATTCTCTAATATTAATCTCCTAAGCGTTTGCTTTGGTATCACCATGTCAATAGGTGTGAAATCTCCTATTGCTATCTTATAGCATTAACATAGCACTTATAAGTCTTACCACATATAGTCAATATCCATTCTTGACAATGCTACAACTTGGGACATTTAATGATATCATTTAAGTATATTAATATTTATCTCACATCTTTCGATCAATTATTAATGCTATGTATATCATTTGGACTTCTATCTAATTCTATTCAATAAATATAACTAATAAGAATTAAGAGAAAGATTTTTTTATTAATAAAATAAATAATACAATATTATAATCAATCAAACATATCTAAACAAGGTTGGATCTTGAGCACCTACACTAACAATTCCCTAAAGAGTTCTTGATCATATGACATATGATGAGTGTAGCCACTATCTATGAACCAGCTTCTCACTTGAATTGCTATTGAAAAAATAAGAAGTTACAAATAACTACTCTTCCTCTCTTACCGGTCCGCAACTTACATGTCATTTTGATGTTAAAGGTTATTCTTGCAGATCTTCTCATGATGTCTAATTTTATTGCATTTACTATATTTCACATGTGGCCTTTTCTAGCACTTGAAAGGAGGATGACCTTTATTGTTACAATTTTCACATGGAGGATAATTCTTGTTATTGTTGCCACAATTATCGCAATTATTAGCATAAGCTCCTTTTGCATTAGTATTTTTCTTTTTTCTTTTTTTTTCTTTTTCTTTCATTTGTTGCCTTTGATTGATTTGGAGCTTAGCTCACAAAGCTCCTTCTACTAAGCCTTCATACCTCATTAGCCTTCTTTGCTCTTGAACTTATCATGAATTCAATAGTTCCGCCAAGGTGAAACTTGAATGATCTTTAGAATTCTTCAATGAGAAAATTATTGCTTTAAATTTTTTAAGGATCGTAACAAGAAATTTTTGAACAATTCTAAAAGCAAAAAATTCAGTACCAAGTAATCTTACCATATTGACAATGCTTAAAAATCTATTAGAGTACTTATTGATTATCTTTGATCCTTCATTCTTTACACCCCAAACACCCTTATCAAATTCAACACTTTCATCCCTCCGATTCTCTCATCATCTTCATATTCTTTCTTGAAAAAAATCCCAAATGGTCTTTACTGATTTTAAGATCATGATCCCGGTAAAGATTATTAGTGACACGACTATAAACCGGCATGATTTTGCTTTTGACTTCCTTTGCTTTATTTCTTTGTGATTCTTGATTTAAGCAAGTGTTGAATTATTAAGTAATGAAGGAACTTCTTAGTTCTCTTCAATAACCTCCCAAAGATCACTAGCATCTAAGTAAGCCTCCATTCTCACTCGTCCAAACTAGATAATTTTCACCATAAAAAATAGGTAGAGCTATTGCCGTGATTGGTGAGTCCGAATTCATTTGTTAATTGATTTTAGTAAGGTGTTTAGGTTTTTTTATGGAAGGTTCACTTAAATTCACTCACAAACCCCTTAAGAAGAAAGCTTTAATACCAATTATAGGACTTTACTCACAAAGGTAGCAATGTAAACTAAAGGCTATAAAACAAGTTGATAAAACAAAGCTTTTAGAACTCAAAAAAATTAGTCGCTAATTGATACATTTTCATTGAATCAAATTGCGCTAAAATTCAAAAAATTATGACTGAAAAAATCAATAAAAACTTACCATGATTACATGATTTAACCCATAAACAAAACATGATGACTTGATGTTTGAACATGATCTAAGCCATGAACAACTACTTTTTAGTAACTAAAGAAAATGCATAACAAAAACCATAAGAATAGGTCAAAAATTTAAAATGCAACATGTGCAGCAACCTAAGCTTGCCTAGTTAGCTACATTTGTACGATCAGCGACTATTGAAGCATATTTGCAACAGGTTTGAAAAAGTCACCACAAGCTTAGTTCTCCTACCTTCAAAAATTTTTGGTTGCCTTCAAGTTTGTAGGCTGAAAGATTGACTCATCTCTATTTTCCTATCATGTCAAAGACTATAGAGTTTTCCTTTTAGTTTATGTAGACGATATATTGCTTATCGGTAACAATGCCTCCTTTTTGAAATTTGTAATAAATGTTTTGAATTCTTGTTTTACAACACATGGACATATGTTGTTTTTTGGGCATTAAAGTAGTCAAAACAAAGCACAATATTATTTTGTCTCAGCAAAAATATATCACTAATATTCTAATAAGGTAGGGAATGTCATCTTGTCAACTTGTGGCAACTCTATGCTGACCTCACCTAAATTGACTAAGATTGGCAGCATGATTATTGATGATCCTACCTTGTATCATCAAGTAGTAGGGGCTCTATAATATACCACTTTAACAAGGCCTAACATTGCTTATACTGTGAACAAGGTATGTCAATTCATACATCATCCATATTCAAACCATTGGATTAATGTGAAACGTGTATTACATTATCTTAAGAACACTTCTAGTCATGGTCATCACATTAGATGGTCAAAGACATAGAACCTATCTCGATTTTCTTATTCATATTAGACCAAATCCTTGGACGATAGAAAATTAACGAGTGTCTATGCCGTTTACCTTGGGTCGAATCTTATTGGATGGAAATCATTTAAGCAAAAAACAATAGCCCGTGGTTCTATAAAACCAGAGTATAAACCAGTCGTTGATTTGGCTATCGAACTTTCTTGGGTTATTTCTCTAGTGGGTGAATTAGGTGTTTCTTAATACTCAAAGCCAATTATTTGGTGTTATAATATTAAAGAAACTTACTTAGCTATTAATTCAGTCTTTTATATGTGTACTAAATATGTGAAAATATATTTTCACTTTGTCAGAGATATGGTGGCAATAGGGAGTTTACAGGTGAAGCTTGTTTTAACTCAAGATTAAATAGCTGATATTTTGACAAAACCATTATTCAATGCACAATTTTCTTTCTTAAAGGACAAACTCAAAGTTAGAGAATGCTCATTGTCAGATTGTGGGGGAGTGGTAAGACAAGATTTTGCAACAGACAACCTAGCCAGCACTAGACACTAAACAGAAGTCACAAATTTTGCTACAAATTATCCCAATAATAAGTTGTTATTGTAATCAGATAATGTTAGTAGCTAGATAGAACTGATCTTGTACACTTATCATTCTATTGTTATTATTCCTACTGCAACATGTAACACTATAAATGATGACTTAACTTCTGATTAAAATACTAAAGAGAAATTTTATTCCATTCATACCTCTCTATAAGATTAACTGCCATCAACTAAGATGGATTCTCTATCATCGCATTCAAATTCCTAGTGGTAGTAGCAACTTTATCTTTAGAGTTTCTTAAGCAACTTTATCTTTAGAGTTTCTTAAGGTACGTATCCCGTGTAAGTACAATTAATTTTTATGCTGTGAAGAATGTATCTTCAAGAGGGATTGTTGAACTTGCATATTTATTTTACATGTTTTGGATTGATTGGTTAAGACTTGAATTTGGATTACCCATTGCTAGATAGTTTGGCATATAGCTAAATATAGGCTAGGATTGTCTATTTGGTTTGAAACTTTGACCATCACATCTGTTTGGTCTAAATTTACTTTGGTAAAAATTTCATTAAAAAAGAAGAAGATTTCACTATAAGGTTTCAGAGTTCTGTCTAAGTCTATATTCAGTTAGCCTTGTTTGTGATTTGGGCAGTGCTTGTTTTTGAAGCTTATTTTGGGCCGAATTGTTTTTGTCGGTCTCGGCTTTGATGATTATTTGCATTTTCTTCCGCATAATTAAGGTAACTTCATCTATCCAGCTTCAGGACGAGGTCCATATCATGAAAACAAGCATCCTCTTCCTTGCAGTGGGACTAGTATGGTCCAGGACTAAGGAACTTGAGTAACAACCAATTATCGCAATACAGGTTAATGCTAATCCCTATTATGGACCTCAATTAATAATGCATGCGCTGACTTTCTAAGCCTCATCAAGCTTATTCCGGATATTGGTGTTGGATTTGGATCGGAGTCCGCTGATCGCCAATGTTTTGTCAAAACGTATATTAGATCATCTACTGGATATGATCAGAATGCCGCGTCCCCTTAGAACATACTTTAATTTATTTTGTATTGTAGCTGCGTACTTGAATCAAATTGGAAGTTGAGGTTTGGCAAATTTATGATCCTTGCCTTTGAGGTTAATTTAGTATGCATAAACTTTGTTTCATGAAAACAAAACAAAACAAAACAAAAAAACAAAATCATGCATACACTTTGTTAGCTTCATACTAATCAGTACTGTCTCATCTAAATATGACTTTATTCTTTCCACATTAATATGCACTAGATCTTAATCGTAAAGTAGTTCTCCCACCCTATGAAGGCCCCCTTACTCTTAATCCAATTTCTACATTCGAGGTTTTTAATCCAAAATTTTCTAGTAGATCTAAAATTTCGAAGCTCATATCATTTTTGTGTGACTTGGTAGAATATGGATGCTTCTCTATTTAGGACATGCACGATATTAAGCCATGCTAATTTCCTTGGACAGCTTACTGTGTACAATTAAAGCATTAATTCTTACTATTTGATTGTTTAGCTCTAACAATCTTCAGAAAAGACGAAGCAAGATTTGCTTAGAATTACAAGAACGTTTGTCATCCTCAACAACGTTTATGCAGACTAAGAAAAAAACAGCCAAATGGAATGCCGGCCAACATTCTTTCCGTTACATTGATTGATACTATCAAGGTCCCAAATATTAGATTATTTGTACAGCAAAAAGGAGAACAAAAATTTGAAAATGTACATGACATTATATACGTACTCTTGTGAGATAAGCCAAAATCAAAGCACCACGCACTCCCTCCCTCTCTCTCTCTCTCTCTCTCTCTCTCACACACACACACACACACAGCCATGATGATGGATAGGAGATTTAGCAGGGATTCCTCAAGAGAAAGCAAAGGGTCTATAACCCTGCAAAAGAAAATTCTTGAGTCTCAGAGACCAAAACCAACCAAAAATGTACCAGACCTCACAGATTTCATGAATGACATGTTCTTTGGGACCATGGACAATGACAAGAAAGCCTATAACTTAACTGGAGGCCATTTGGAAGACGAGGAAGAAAGTTTCGATGACAGTACAAGGAGCAACAGCGGTAAGCTAACTCAGGAGTGGCTAGAAGAAGCTAGACGTATGGTAGCATCATCTCCTCCAAGGTGTGAATCCCCTTCTAGACTCGTTGGATCACCGAGGTTTGCAGCTGTTTCTGGCAGACTGTCGTCAGCCTCAATACTTGATAGGAGGGATCCACTCTCCAGGTCTGCTAGAAGGTATGTGATGATTTGCATTTGATCCATGTGCTGCAAAATGAAAGAAAAATGCAATTCAGTACTATGGTATGCTAATGCAATGTTCTTTTCCTGTGACAATTATTCTCGTCTCTTCAGGCACAGATCAGTTGAAGGATTCAGTGGAGAAATACTAACCAAATCAGAAAAACATAGCCGTAATAAATCAGAATCATTATTCGAAACTCATGCAGAGCCATCCCCAGCATCGCAGGTCCAAAAGTGGTTCTCCAACATCCTTAAACCACCCTCCAATTCCATTGCCCCGCCAGACCCCAGCAGCCCCCAACAATCCAACGACCATACGTCCCCATTCTTGGATCCACCAGCTCTGAATCTGCCACCTCGGCAGTCAACATACCGAAAGTCCCGGTTCCAAACGGAGCCCCCTGCAACCACCCTCCAAGGAATTCCAGTCACTTCAAGTAGAACTTTCCAGGCAGCTCCAATATTACGACGAAACACTCAGTTGCTCTCTCCACCAAAGAATCTCATCGAGTCAGCTCACAGGAGATCAATATCATCAAACACATGTTCCGAACAAGAGGCTCGAACACTGTCCCCACCAAAGAATCTCGTGGAGTCGGCTCACAGGAGGTCTATATCAAAGTCTACTTGGTCCAATGAGAAAGTTGCACTAAAGCCTAATATAAGTGCGTGGCAAAAGGAAGAAGAGGGAGAACAAGATTTTAGTCTTAATGGATTCCTTAAAGAGCAAAAAATCAAGATTGGGAAGATTTTAAATAGGGAACTTGATTGTAAGGTTAAAATCATCCTTTCTGGTCCTTCAAAGAGTTAAGTACATTTTCATTAATGAATAATTGGTTGACATTTTCAGTAGCAGACAAGTGCATATTAAATAGGCTTTTCATGTTGACTGTTAAAGCAATGTCGCTGATATTATGTGAATGCAGGTACTAGTTCAATGGTAGCAGCGATATGCTATGCGTGGTTGTCGGCAAATAGGCTGATGAAGAATAAAGGAGGAGGTTACCGCGACGAATCTATGGTGTTACCTGTGATGAATATAAGGAGAGGCAGAATGTGGAAGCAGAGACAAGCTGCGTGGTTATTCCGCCATGTTGGCCTCGATGCTACCTCATTACTCTTTGTTGATGAGGTAATTTTAACAAATGTTCATAACATGCTATTTGAGTTTCATTCTCCGAAGAATGTTGGGTTGTTGTTTTAATAAACAAGCATTACCGAATTTTCCTCACTTGCAACTTAATTTCTTCCTTAATTAGTTTTTGAATTCTTCATCTGACGATTTAAATTTGATTGAAACGAAATGAAATTGGTTATGCTTACCTCCGACTTATTCAGATCTCATGTTCAATTACTAGAATTTAGTTCCCTGTAATGAAAAAAAAAAGTTCACTACTAAAATACTACTGAACCTTCTGAATTTATCTACAATACAAGCAAATACCCTGAATCTGGAGAGAAGGTAGATACAGGAATGGGGCTTTGTTATTCTTCTTCATTTTGTTTACATTATTTGGCAATGAAAATAGTTATAGAAGTAACTCAATGTGAATTGCCATTTTGGGGTCAGGTGGATTTGGAGAGTTTGATGATGGAAGGGAAATTAAACGTCCTTGTCGTTGGGCAAGATATCCTCAGAACTAACAGCGAGGTCAGTACACAACTATCAATAAGACAGGATGGCATAAAATGTTGGAAATATTCTGATTCCTATGTTAGTGAGTAGTTTAGGTCATCACTAATTATCAGTACTTAATGTTACTGGTTCTCTGCATAGGTTGGATCACAGTGCACTATTCTGACCGATAATTATTGCGAAGATGCCTACGATCTACTTCAAATTCCAGTGCTGAAGAAGCTTTTGGTAAGTTACTAAATTATGCATTAACAGCTCAAGTATAACACTGTAGTTAAAATGACTTCCTTTTCTTGGTTGGAATTCTCAATAGTTTCGTGTGCTACAGCTTGCAGGTATCCTGTTAGATACACTAAATTTGAATGCATCGGCTACTAGTTATACGACAAGAGATGCAGAAGCAGTTCAGTTGCTACTAGTTGGCTCAGCCCCAAATTATCGGAATGTCCTTTTTGATCAATGTATGGTATTGCGTGCTCAAACCAGCAGGAATAATTAAGTTTCAAATTATCCTTGTCTCGTGGTTCATTTCTTTTGTCTTTTGTTCTCTATTAGTGATGCAAGATCAAAGAGACAGCTCCTTTATTGAAGCATTGAGGCACAACTATGGAAAGTTCCCCAGTGAGGGTAAGCAGCTACCTTTAATTATTATATGTAGTGACAATCTAGCAGGTTTGCTGATGTTGGACAAGAATCCCAACAAAATTATAATGGCATTGGGTCAAAAAGATATTATTATAATCATCATGTGATTACAAAAGGTTAGTCTTGTGTAATTGTTAGAGTATGATTCACATGAAGATGACACTGAACTTCTATTCATGCAAATGCTTAACAGTGAATTGAACTTGATCATTGTGGTGCTTGAATCCATGTCCATCTTTACTTTCCGTATTCTTTTACCTTTTTGTCAACTTACAGAGGCTGCATGCTTTGTTTCTATATTTTCCTGGAGAACATATAGGTGGTCATGATAATGGAGCACAAATGGATCATAGAGGAAGAGAGAGGAAGTCAACCTCTGTCTCTCACCATGAAGCCATCCCAAAGATTTCGGATAAAAACTCTCTTAATGTGAGAAATGGAAAACTTGAGAATACAACAAAAGCAGGTAATGCTTAATTCATTTTAGTATTTCTGATCTTTTTTCTTTTTCTTTTTCCTGATTGAATGCTTCTGATGGTTTTTGTTGCTCCAACTCCAACTCCACCATGAAGCCATCCCAAAGATTTCAGATGAAAATTCTAATAATGTGAGAAATGGAAAACCTGACAATACAACAAAAGCAGGTAATGCTTAATCGATTTTAGTACTTCTGATCTATTTTTTTTATTGAATACTTCTGATCATTTTTGTTGCTTCAACTCCAACTCCAAATTTTGTCATCCTACTGGTATTCATCCTTCAAACTCTAATGTTGTTTAACACCATTTTAATAACATAGCAGCTCCTGCGGCAGCACCGACGGTGGCAAATCCTAATGCCTCTCGCGGACAGAACAAGTTCTTCCTGGCAAAGTGGTTTGGTTTTGGTAAATGAAGATCATAAAAGCGTTAATTTGTGACAGGATTAGATTTTGTTTTATTGAATAGCTGGTGTTTCCCTGAAGAAAAATGCCTGTTATGCCTAATTTATTAGACTATGATTATTTATTTTGGATGAAACAACAATGCACTAAATAGTCATTGGCAACATTGTAGCAATCGTTGTTGATGGCGGCAATCTTGTTGTTTACAAATAATTGTTTTCACTTCCCAGTCCATCAAAAGGAAGTATTTTGTCGTCCATATATTGTGGTATAAATACAACTATTAATACCACTACACTTTTAGACACGATCCAGTAATTACTTTTTTATGTTTTGTCAGAACACAGGAAGTGCTATGTACATATATAATTGCTTAGTTTATGTGCTGCATGATTGAACCTGAAAAACCACAAGGAGATTAATTTCATTATGAATTTCAAGATTGGCTTTCCTTTGTTTTGTTTATGTTTGTAGCTATTTTGTTTACTTCTTTCCATTTAGCACAAGATTGCTTCTCTGGCAGTTAAGCACCAGAAGACAGCATTCTAACGATCATCATAGATGACCAAAACATGTGTGTTGGTTCAAACTTGTTTTGCAATCACGTCATGTTATTTTTTTTTCTTTAATCCAAGGAAATTACCAATTTATAATTTTAAATTAAAACATCCAACACTATGAAAAACTATTTAATGGTATCTTGTTAATATTTCAGGACAGCCAAAATCCCCTGCCATCTTAAAATATAATACCATTTATTTTATTTTTTACTTTTTTTAACAATAATATTATGTCATTTGGCCACTCTTACTTCTATCATACATGATACGGTACTGACAGGAAAACTTATATCCATTAGGAAGCCTGACCTTATTTTAAACCTATATTGATTTAACTTTTCATTTTGTTTTTTGTCTTTTTTCCTATCTTAATCTCGTTCTAGAATTTTTTTTTTAATCAAATTTAAATAAATAAATTTTGAAAACTGAAAAAAAAAATAAGATATATCTGTTCATTCACTCTAAAAATTGAAATAAAAAAAATCTTTTATCCAAAATATCATTTAATGATTTAAATTTATCTCTATCATAGTAAGCAAATTTTGAGAATAAAATAAAATATTTATAGTGTTTTTTAAAATATGAAGGGATTTTTTTATTTTTTTTATTATTTTTAGTTTTTTAAAAAATGATCATATATATTTTTTTAGATTTCTTTTAATTTATCTATCTAAATTTAGTATAAAAATAGAAAGATAATATTAAGACAAAAAAAAAAAAAAAACCGAGTTGACGGGTGTCACAATCATATGGGACTAACGAGTGTTATTTAATACCATTAGCCTAAAAAATTAACATATAGATGAGATTAAGATGGAAATGAAATAAAATGAGTCAAACTTAAGATCAAAAAGATTGAAAAGCCATAGCAAATATTAAAAAAATAAAAATAAAAATAAAAATACCCCTTGTTGTAGATTTTTTATGTCGACCTTAATTAAGAAGATTTTGAAATAAAAGATAAAATAATGTTCAAAACTTAAAAACAATTTTCATTCATTGATAAGAAAAAAATGCTTATAAATTAAGATTCTTCCTCCAAATATGATATTAATGTAGAAATTCAGTTCTTGAGAATCATAAACTCGAGTTGCGGTGATAATAAAGTACTAAGGAACAAATCTACCAACCTATAAACTTGTCAACCTACTTTGATTATTGCCTATCAACTACTACCTATAATTTATCGCCTAATAAGTTTCAAAAATACCGAAACTTGAGATAGTGTTCGCTTTTTGCGTGTTGTCGCGTTGATTGTTGATTTTTTGTGCTTTTCTTCCTTTATTGTAATTGGTATTTATAGGCCCTTGGCTCCTTCATAATTTTTTCTAATGCTCGATTTATTATTATTTTTTTTGGCTTCCTATTTATTTGCTGCAATACTTCATGTTTTCTTATTACCTTGATCATGTCTCAATTTCATCTTATAACAACCCATTTTCCTCCTAACAATTAGGAAGCATATCTCGATAGTTATCTTATTACAACTAACTTATCTATTTGTTAGAAAATCCAAATATTGGGTATAAAATATGTCTTCTTTCTTTCCATATGTGAGTGTTTACCTCACCTATGGAAAAAAAAATCTCATTATGAACTCTTCTTATTCTCTAAAGTTTTCCTAATCTCTATTTTTTTTTTAATGCACCTTTTTCTTCATTCAATCTAAAAGCCTTCTTGAAATCTACTATTTGGGAATGTCACCCTATGGAACAAAGCTTTAAAGTGATGACTAAAATAGAAGACCTTGAAACTAAGGTCGTGACCACATATGAAGAGTTGCAATTTATTAAGCTAACTTCTCATAACAACAAGGTCAAACTACCTTGATTTCAATAAGAGTCCGCAACTTTGCAAGTACAAATAAAAGTTCTCTCGTTATGTGAACAAGGATGGATCGTTTTTTCCTTTTAGACCACTTAATAGTTAGATTTTCTAAAGCATTTCTATAACATGCAATGTTATTTTATAAATGAATGGAACTTAACTGTTCTTACACATATCTTAAATGTCTTACAAACAAAAAACATGACCATAATTAATCATGGTAAGAAATTAAAGATACATCATATATATAAAACTATAAGATCAATAAAATAAATATCACTTTCAATTTACGTGACCCTAACAACTAGCTAAGATGACAATTCTCATGGATGAATAAGATAGTCATATGGAATCTTATTGGTTGTTTTTCATCATTTTCATCATGGGTATTGAAATATATGGTAGGATTCTCATTTGGATTTATATTTTTGGATGATTTCACTTTTATAATAGATGTATCATGATCATTCATCATGATGAAGGATCATACATCCTATGAAAGTGCGGAATAAACAAAAAAAAATTCCTCCATCTAAGGCCCCAAGATCAAGTCGTTGAATCTACTAACCATACATATATGAATAATAAGTTATAAGTTAAAAGATTATCTCTTGTAATGCAGATTTAAATTCCTTTTTAGTAAAGCCGTCCAAGTGTCCGGCCTTTATTGATGATCCACGCAGTCTAAGTATCCACAAAGAAGCACTCAAAATTAATGGGGTACTAACTCCACCTTTTCTGATTTTGTATTTTCTCTAGAAATCAATCCCGGATAATTTTGTGACAACCTTAAAAGAGAGGAAAAGAATAATTCTTCCTAGGGTTTAGGAGAAAACTATTTTCTTTTTTATTTTCTCTCTTGGTTGTATGCCCTAGGTAATTTTTAGGCTAGCCAAATTTTCTCTCTCCTTTTTTTCTTATGTTGGTCGAATTTTCCTCTCCCTCCTATATATTTATAGGAGAGTTTCCTTGTCCAAGGATAAGGAGAGAGGAGGCTATGAGTCCATAAAGGACTTTAGGTTGTTACTTCCTTATCCTCCAAGCATGAGGAGTTATTTTGTATGTGAACTATTTGATTATTATCTTTAAAACATTCAACCTTATCCAATAAGGTTGATGTTTATCCTCCCTCCAAAATTATCTTTAAGCTTTTAATTAAATCTAATGAGCCAAAACTATTTTACCCTAATTAATTTTTTTGGACTATCCAAATAAATATTTTTAGATTATTTTGACAAGGTCTACATTAGAAAATAATTTTCTAAAATACCCTTTAACCTAAATTAGGAAACTCTTTTCCTTTTAAGTTCTTTATTTTCAAATTTGAAACTAACTTCCAAATTAGGAAACCGATTTCTAAAATAGGAAACTTTCCATCTTGGAAACTCTTTCCAAAATAAGAAACCTTTTATAATTGAAAACTTTTTTTAATATCTTTACTTTTTATTTATAATATGAATATTTAAACTTATGCGTGTGACTCAATAGACTCTTAGATATGTTGGCAATGTATCAAGAATAAAAGACTCCTCTTTAATCTCTTGACACATAAATTAAGATTGACCTCTAGCAAGGCATCATGACTACCCAATTCTCTAGGAGGATTAGTTAATCTATTATTACCTTTCTCGAGTATGGTTATCATACAATTTAGTTCTCATGTCAACTTATCATAATGTGATCTTAAACTTAGTTATTAGTCTTGTTCGATTATGATCACATAATTTTTCTTCGATTTTCAAATGTCTTAGCTCTTCGACTAGACCAACTATGCTCTATTGGTGTATTCATACTATGACCATAGATTTATTGAGCGTACACTTTTATTAAAGTGCAATTTGATAACTCCTTTAACATACAAGGAATGACATGTCCTATCTTAGTCATACACCTATCTTCATTGGATTCCTAGTGCACCCAACGAATCGCCCACATGCAACCCATTAATGGGTCCATCGAAATGAGTGTCAAAGTCCATAAGTCCTTCAATGAGATAGCCGTGATGACTTCAATTCTAAGAACCATTTGGACCCATCTCGTATGAGATTCCCATAGACTAAAACCAAATAGGTTCTCATGACGAGTCAAATCCAAGTAATATATTCTTTAACATAAATCACCTAAATGCTTGTTTTGGCATCACCATGCCAATATGTGTGAGATCTCTTATCGCTATCACATAGCATAAGCATAGCACTCACAAGTCTATCCGCATTTGTCAATGTCCATTCTTGAAAATACTATGACTTGGGATATTTAATGATATCATTTATGTGCATTAGTGTTTCTCTCACATCTTTCGATCAATCACTATTGCAAATGTATATCATAAGGAATTCTATCTAATTCTACCGAACTTATCAACGTGTAAACATAAGAATTAATAGAATAACTTCTTTATTATTATAAAAATAAATAATGCAATAATATATTAACTCGAGCTCATCCAAACATGGTTGAATCTTGGGCATCAACACTAACACATGATTCCAAACCCAAATATAGAATTTTCTTAAAGCCTTGTAATGATTCTTCTAATTCAAGATTTTGATCATTAACCATAATTTCATAATCCGAATATGAATTTTTGTAAGATCTTGAAATGCTTTCATATTTGTAATACT